CCCACTCATGTCCTCCCACCTCTGCAGCCCCCGCCACGAGTCGTCCCCGGCCTTCTCCCTACTCATGTGCTCTGTTCACGTCCTCTCTGTCACCGCCCCCTTAATTTTCTTTCCTTCTCCCCTCTCCCTGACATCGAGTTCCCTCTTGACTACCGCATTTTCACTAACAATCTTTTCTATCAGCATCATTCCGCCTTTTTCCATGCGGACTCCATCTTCACCCCTCCTATGAACCCGACTCTTTCTTCACCCTCAACATCGTTCTTTTCAATGTCGCCTGGAGACAATAGATGGAGATAATTCAACCACATGGAGTTGTACTACATCATGTCGACAATCTCCCACGCAACCGATGATTGTGATTCGATACACGACAATACCCTCTACACCATACCCACACACTATGCTCAGCATCACACTGCCCTACCTAGACCCAATCACAGGTTTCCCCGCGCATATGGTATTGTGCATTTTGTTTATCTTCTCGATGTTGTGGGCAACTACTTTCCCCCACTTTCGCCTATCTGGCCACAATTGTCACCTTCTCCCCTCCTTATTGACTACAATCGAGCAGATCATGTTTAAACAAGCAAATGGTCGAGACCACGACGATGTCACATAGAAGACAACCAAACGTCCAAGTTCTCAATCCTTTCAGATCTTTGCAAGTAATTGAAAAGTTATCACGCTTGCGAGATTTATAATTGCGGAGAAGAGGGGAAAGAGGGAGAGAAGGAGGAGAATAGGAAGAAGGGGTGGGACGAGGATAAACACTCTGGAAGGTCATGTCAATACGTGTGAAGTACTTCGTAGCCAATCGGATAGCAATATGAAGTGTTCAAAGCCACTTTACACCTTGATATTTGATTTGTACGGGTCTTGGGGTGATCAGCGCGGTCTTCCTGCGTGTAGATGAAAGTAGAAACTTCAAGGGAGGTAACGAAAAACAAAGCATAGGAAGACAAAAATTCAACCAAAGTGAGGAGAGATAAGACCACCGGGGGGGGGGGGAGGGAAGATGACGGTTAAATCTTAAGCGCTGATGGCGATAAAAGACGAGGGCGTGAAGCGAAGCGAGGCAATTTTGTTTGCGAAAACACAGCACAGAAGATGCATAAATGCAAAAAAAAAGGCACCAAAACAGTTACATGAAATGTTAGTGAAACCGCGTCTATTTCCTAAGGCTGAATTGAAACTGAAAAGTTCGAAGGAAAATTTTGCATACGTAATCTGAAACGCGCGATTCCTATGCCAATTCCTGATCCAAGTAGGTTACATAGGGCTTGCAGGCTGTGTATCTTTTTAACGTAGAACGGGGGAATTAAACTCCCGTTGAATCCCGTTAAATTAAAAAATATCTCGTTAAATTCGTGTTAAACGCGAAAATGGGCCGCTCCCACGCTTTTCGTAAAAACGGAATTGATGCGCGCGGTCCGGAACACGTGGCCCTAGGAAAAAAAAAAAAAAAAAAAAAACCTGAAGCACCTCCCATCCGCCCCCACATCCCCCAACCCCCAATGCCCCAGTTATGTGTGTGTAGGTGTGTTGTGTGTGCGTGTATGTAAGTATGTGTGTGCCTGCATGTGAGAGTGTGTTTGTGCATGAATATGAATGTATGCGCGTGTGTTTGTGTATGTGTGTGTTTGTAAGTGTGTGTGTGTGTGTGCATGATTGTTGGCTTGTGTCCATTGTTTCCCTTTTGAGGGATATAGTATTTTCCCGTTGAAAACTCGGGGCGGGCGATATGGGTTTGGGCGGGCGATTTGAGTCTGTATTTTTTTTTTTTTTCTCTTCTACTGTGCAAGGAAGATGAGCAATAGCGAACTTCAGCAATCAAACAACATCATATACACAAGACCAGATAGTCGAGACCTCTAACCAACAGCAGAATTGCATCACGAGTTTCACCAAATAAGAAGACACCAAGAGCTCATAATTGACAATGTTGGTAAAGTCTCATCATCATCATTAATGAAGAACCAATGTTGATATCCTGTCCGTCTCTCGGCGCCCAGACTACAGATGGCAGATCCTATCTAGCCTAAACTACCTCAGTGCGACCAACACTCAGGACCATCACCCTACCAGTATTGAGGGCAACTTAGACCAAACAACATTGACAAGCATCAGGGGCATAGTCCCATGAGCAGATGGATTGGAGTGTGGGCGATCCAGTGTGACACTGAGTGGCAGCGGCCTGACAGGTTCATTACGAGTTTCAGGGCTGAGAAAATAGGAAAAGGCAAAAAAAAAAAAAAAAAAAAGAGACCTCTCACTGGAAATCATGGCAGAGTGTTTCCCAGCCATCAAATCACAAATCATCTGATGGTGTTGGTTGCTACAACAGTGAAAGAAGCAGGCCAAATCAGGCAGTCTATCCAGCAGCGAGTCTACCCAGCAAGATAACCTAAGCAATGCAGGCCAAGAAATATATTGTTTATGGTTTTGATTTTTTTTTAAATACACGGGTTTAAAAAAAAAAAAAAAAAAAAAAATTGTTGTAAATCTTTGAAAGATCTACAACCCTATATTTTTTATTTTGTTTTTCTGTGTTTGCTTTAGTCCTTAAAAAATCTCTGTGAAACCAAAAAAAAAAAGAGTCATGTCATTTCTTGTTTTTGTTTTTTTATTGTGCTTATGTTTTTGATTTTTTTTAAATATATTAAAAAATCAAAAAATAAAAATAAAAATATGGGGTCGTAGACCTCGAAAAGATCTACGACCTCATATATATATATATATATATTTCGGTTATGTTTAGCCTAGGAAAAAAATCATTGCGGTCCCCGTTTTCCCCCATCCAACGCGCATTTGAACAGGAGTTAAACGCGAATTTAGCATTAAATCCAGTTTCGGACACACAACTTGCAGGGGTTTTCTTACAGTTGCGCAAGGAAGGGATTCGTTGCCAAGTATCCCAATAGGCAACCCTGACTTTTGGATTCAAGAAACTTGAGTAAGAAAAAATTTCAAGCACGCATGCTAAGGCACACACAAATCCTACGTAGAAGTGCAAGAAGAAAAGGGGAAACAGAAGCCTGAGAACTGTGAAAGCAGTGAGTTATAATTGGCCAACGTATCCAGGTATCGGAGCCTGTTATGATTAGTCTTTTGGGCAAGAAAGGTTGAAAAACACACGCGGGATACGCGGAGCTCGACTCTTCATTCACTGGTTATGCTACTTGGACTTGGTAGAGGAATTGGAACTGGACCAGATTATTTGTAGTTATTCAACGGGTACTTAGCGAAAGAAAGGAAGGGACTAAGAAACTCGCTCATGCATAGAAGTTGGTGCATCACATGTGTGGCGCTTAGGGGGTTTCATTTTTTTTTTTGATCTTCTCATCGCATGCAAAACGTAGAGTAGGGAGACGACGAAAAATAGTTGTAACTAGATTGACTCTACGTCGAGTCTACGAACAATTCTAAGTTTGGCTTCTCCCAAAATTGTTTCGGGTGAAGTTATTTCCACATGGACTTGTTTTGATCTCATTTCCTTCATCAGCATTTATGTCTGGAATGCACCAAGCTAATCGATTCCAGACATTCTCAAGCACGATGATAATGAGAGGAAGAGAGAGACGGAAGGGGCACTAGATCATGTGTCACATTATCACGCCGAAACTCGTTTCATTAAACCTGCACATCAAAGATATCACTAGTAAAAGAGAGCGGACCACCGATGATGGTGGCCATATTTGTGAGTGTCTAGTTGTCTTGCAGGTGACACCATCATAGTCTGGTAGCCATGGGCAGTCCTCCTCCAAGTGGCTCCTCAAGTGTGACCATTCCAATCATAATCAAACCGGATTGGAGGAGCTGGTCTTCTAGGTCGTTGCTGCCAGATTAGAGGGAAAGGGGCGCGATCGATGTCTTGCACATCGACATAATGGATGATGCAATGAGCGTCGAGGGAAACGATGGTTAGGCTGGGGAGGGCAGCGAGATAGTCGGCATAGAGAATGGGTATGGTGTGGATGGTTTCATCGCGAAGACCTTCATAGTCTTCCGCGGCAAACAAAGTTCCCGAGATAGTGCAATACAACTCTATGTCGTTGTATTGCCTCCATGCCACACTAAAAGTCGCTCTGTCTAGACCAAGAGTAGCAAAAAAACGTTGACGCTTCAATTAACATCGTCGTCGGACCGCCTTCTCTAAACACGTTGACTTGGATTGCCGCATACCACGCTTGCATACTAATAAGTTGGGCCAATCGCAAAAGGGAGGCTGCCTCGAGGCGTAGCCACATGCCTAATCTCCGGCCTCGTCCGTGACGGCGCAAAAGTAGGGACCGGGGGTATGCACGCGCCCCTGCCTATACGTCGCTCCTCGACCGGGCCACCGCCATGTGTAGGACACCTAAAACCCTCCAAAAACGGTGCCTGATGTGGCACCACTGGCCCCACAGCAGTGCGAACCACCAAAGTCTGTGGCATCTCCTGTCCGTCCGCGTCACGCCTGTCCACCTGTGTGGGGTCTCCCCCGCCAGACGTGGACATCGGATCGGCCGCGGATGGCACCCCCGACCCGCAAGCACCAACGGTCCCTGCTACGGCCCCGTCCCCCCCGCTGGTCGGCGCTATCCCCTCCGCCTATGCCGATGGGCGAATATCATCAACGCCCACTGACTGCCCTGTCGGTATGTCCTCCAGACCCGGGGATATATGCACGGCACCCTCGACTGAACCCGATGGCAGAGGCACGCCCGCGACCTCCTTCAATGTCTCCTCTGGCCTCCGCTCCACAGCAGGATGCTGCGCCGGCTCCGAACGTGGCTCCTCTGTCGGTGCCAACCCGCTCTCGTGCGTCCCCTGCCGGACATCCACTCCCGTACTCGAAACCTCTGCCGAAGCTGCCTCCCGCTGCGTCGTGGTCGAGGCACGCTCAACAGCTATCAAGCCTATCCAGCCTCTCTGCAGATGGCTCTCCAGGGGGTGTCCACTCCTCATCCCCCTCTGCCCCCAACATCACCTCTGCGCGCATGGCAGGGGAGAAACTACTCGGGTCCGCGAAGCTGATCTATCCCAATAAGTCCTGCGTACCCACACTAATGTCCCCACGGGACTCCCTCTCTCCTAGGGCCAGACCCACACTCTCTCCCGGGGGCATACCCATATCGCCAAACTCACTGAAACCGCCTCCGCCGCCCATCGGTATCCCCTCAATCGCCGCATCAGCCTCGGCACCGCCTCCACCTCCGGCCAGCGCACCACCATCTCCACCAACGAACCCCTGTCCGTCTCCGTCGTCACCCTGCACCGGCACAGGACCGCCCCTCAATCTGTCCTCCAATCGCTGTCTCGGGCCCCTCACCAATCTCTGCAATCGATCTGCAACGGCTGGCTGTCGATGAAGCTGCTCCGTCAAAGTGGGAAGAGCGGTGGATGATGTCGTGCCAGAGCGACCCAGAGGACGATGGCCAATCCTCGACTCTGCCCCCCTCGAAGGTGCAGACCCAGGATCTGTCTCTCGCTCAGCGGGAAGCGAAACGGTGGACGTAGGCCTCGGACGCTCTAAAGGGCTCCCATGACGACCCCCAGACTCCTCCAAATAAACCTGAATGAAAAGGTCATCTCCGCCACTCCGTCTACGGACGTCCTCTAGGTCGCCCCACTCATCACGCTCATCCACCGCGGAAGTGGTGCTAGCGGGGCCCGCCGGCTCGTCCTCGTCCTCGTGACCCTTGGAATCACTGTCGTCTCGAGGGTACGGGTGCAATGTGGCGGCTCGAGTCCCGAAAACATCGCCCACATCACCCGGAGGAGCTCTGGACCCACATGGGTCTCGCAGCCATGAACGTCTCTGATCCTCGACCTCCTCCCGCGTCCTACTCTCGTCCGTCCCCTTCCATGAGGGGCGAATCCCAATACCTCCCTCCACGTCCAACAACGACTCATCTAGAGTCCACGGCAGCGCGAACCCGCGACCTGCTCGCTGATGAGATAAAAGGCGGACGTTGGCTGAGATCTCAACCAACTTCGCGACCTTCTCGAACTCAAGCCGGTTACGCTTCTTTGTCTGTACACCCTCGTGGACGGCCCAATTCCTCTCCGCAGGAGAGGAACACATCCACATGTACATCATACGAAGAGCGATAACCTGCAACTGCGGGGCGCACTGCCCGTACCTCGACCACCAACACCCGGACTCGTACGTCTCCGCATCGCCCCTGCACCTTTGTGCATCTCTGTCTCCGTCTCTCCCCCCCCAAGCAATCGTCCCCCTCCGTGTGTGGAAGTCACGCAACTGTGCACATGCGGTCTCGTAGTCGCGGCTCGCCACACTGAACCCTGTCTGCGACAAGATGTAAGTTTCCGCCTCCCTCACCAAGCTCGCGTCGTAGTCGCTGACCACGCCCTCGAAGTACCGCAAGTCTCGCCGGCTGGGACAGAGGAGGTGAGCAGCAGCGTGCGTCGGCTCCAGCATGTGAGCGCATCGAGCCTGCACCCTCTGCACAATGTAGTGTGCAAGATCTAGCGGAAGTGCACAAACCTCCTCTGCCACCTGGCGGGCCAGATCCTGCGTCCACTCAACCACCCGCGACATGTGCAGCCCTCCGCAGTCCAACCTGCGCAGCAGGTCGTACACAGGCTCCATGATACGGAGCAAGATGCCCATGGAATCCCACAAACTGCCATGTCGCACCTGCCACCTGACCCACCTAGCCAAATGACGAACTGAATGGTCCCAAGGGACCATACCCCAACTATCGCCATCCACCGTCCTCTCCAAAGCTGACCTCACTGCCAGCAAACGCTCCACCATCGCGAACACGGATGCGAAACGTGTCTCGCAAGGATAGATGAGGCCCATCTGACTGCTCTCCCCCCGGAAGATATGGAGAGCGGCGCCATGCTCCTTAATGAAGCGCACCACCGCTCTCCCCCTCACGATGATGTCCTTGGACCACGGGCCCGAACAGCCAATGTCTGACAACATCTTGTTGCAGACATGCACTGCGCATGGGAGCCACGTGATACGTCGATGCTCCGGCCTCTGAAGGGGCCCCTGGAGCATGTTCACCACAGCGACGTACGCCAAGGTGGAGTCGGTGCAGATGGCGTTCACCCACTTAGGGGGGAAGTCATCGAACACCTTGATCCACCGCGCCAACACATCAGGCGCCCGATCCCTCTCACCCTCCCTATTCATCATCCGGATGAGCATCACCCCACGCGACCCGCCGGCAAGGAAGTTAACGATGGGTCTAGCATCGCGTGACTTCCTTCCGTCTGACATAATGGTGGCCCCCGTGACATAGAAAGGAGCCCTGACCTCCGCGAGATCAACTCCCACATCGTCGGCCGTGTGGACAATGGTTTCTATGTCCGCGATCTCATTCTCTGAAGGCCACAACACCTTCACTGGCCCCGGCAAGTCCCTGAAGTGTCGGACGACGTCCAACCATGGCTCGCTCCGGAAGACGTTGAACGCCAGGCGCTGACTGTACACAAACCGCAGCCACTTCTTCTTGAACTCCATCTGCCACTTTGAGGTGAACGACTCCGTGATCGTGTTCTGTCTCATCCTCTTCTGTGTTGCGGCTGCTGCCGTCAGTCTGTCCCCCTCCTCTCTCTCCTTCCTCTTCCCCGCAGACGCACTTGCCTCAGGCGTATCCGCACCTGCCCTTGCACGAACCGACACGTGTGCCGACGCAAAGTACTGGCCCTGCTGCCCCCCCCGGCTCGCTAACAACGCCCTTCCCTCGCTCCCTCCTTGACGACCCCGCTCGTGCAACCTCCTCGTCGTCGTCGTCCACATTGATTTGCTCCCCCGCGTCCCTCATCTCTCGTTCCCCCCCCTCGTCCCGTTGCGGATCCACCGCAGGCGCCGCACCGTGAAGCTCCTCAAATCGTTGTATCCGCTCTAGGAACTTCTCGGACATCTTGTACTCACTGTTATAGTGGATGTCGACAAGTGCCTCGTCTGTCGTTTCCGGACATCCCTTGCCCTGGCGGAAATGGCGCGCTGCCACGAACTGGTTGCCCTGAAACTCGTGGCCGCATAAAACGCACTTCAACATGCGATTGCCGCGAAATCTCTCACTGAGACTATGTCCCACGCGGATGTACTTGTACACGCAACACTTCTTCTGCGCCTTCAGATTCTCGTCCTCCCCCCCATCCTCAAACACCCGAAATTGACTACACGGCATCGTGCCCGCTCGCCGATGGGTTTTACCGAAGCGGTCCGCCCCTAGCCTGTCCCACGAAGCCCCAACTCCCGCCGGCGTCCCTCCCCGCCACAGGCCTCGTCGGGCCCCCCCCCCCCCTCCCCCCCCCTGCCCAAACCACCCCCCCAACGGTCTCGAATCCCCGCCGCTCGCCGGAAACGTAACGCGGAACGCGCAAAGGCCGCACCCTGCAGCGTCCGTTCAAAGATATTAAACGCGCGTCCAAACAATTGAACGCGCGTTAGATAAATTGAACGCGCGTTCAATTTTTAGTCGCGTTGCGTGCCGATGACGTCCTCGTCGCCCGCCGCCTCGCTGTGCCGTCGACGTCCCCGCGCGCCTCCACGTCATCGTCGCTCTCCACGCGCTGCGCCGGCTCTCTCTCTCTCTCTCTCTCTCTCTCTCTCTCTCTCTCTCTCTCTCTCTCTCTCTCTCTCTCTCT